GTTTCAATCGTTTTTAGAGAAAAACGCCATGATAATTTTTGGGCCAAAAAACTGGAAGATTTCAATGGTGACGGAGATTTTCAAGCACGATGCCCTTGTTCTATTGACGCAGGCAGCATTCATCCAGGCAGCATTCATCCAGGCAGCATTCATCCAGGCAGCATTCATCCAGGCAGCATTCATCCAGGCAGCATTCATCCAGGCAGCATTCATCCAGGCAGCATTCATCCAGGCAGCATTCATCCAGGCAGCATTCATCCAGGCAGCATTCATCCAGGCAGCATTAATTCCAGGCAGCATTCATCTAGGCAGCATTCATCCAGGCAGAATTCATCCAAGCAGCTATCATCCCAAGGCTGTCCTGCTTTTTACGTACCTCACCGAGCCAGTCTCAACGGATGTCAGATGAAGTCGACAGCGAACTGCGCACGGGATTTCAGACCATATTCAATGCGTTCTTCGACGATAAAGGATGGAATCAAGCTGTTTTGCCGGTCAATATAGATGGTCTGGGTTAGGGTGTCGTGGTCAAGCTGGCATCATCAGCATTTTTGTCATCAGCAGCGTTTGACGGTTCGTTTATTCATGCATACTCACACACACCACACACACACACCCACACCACCCACACACATATCCGTATATATACATACATATACCCACAAACCTATATATATGTATATATATACACATGATTTTTAAAACAAAGTACATTCATAAATGCATTTATTTTCCAAAACCATGTAACAACTAAAGCTCGTGCATGCAAATGCATGCATTCGCAAAACAAAATGTGTGAAAGACATAAACATAGATAAAAATACTAAATGAACATGTGCAACGTATTTATATATATGTGTTTGTTTATGTGTGTGTTTGTTTATGTGTGTGGCGTGTGTGTGTGTGTGTGCGTGTGACTATGTGTGGAAGTATGTGTGTGTATGAACAATTGTATGCTTATGATCTATATTTACGTAATATATCTGAATAAAGACGTGTTTGAATTTAAGTGCCAACCAACATAGATATAGTGAATGCATTTATCTGGTGATTGCCATTGTGTGTGAGTGTGTGTGTGAGAGAGTGTGACTA